AGCTGTGCGTTTGCTTGCGGCGGTCATGATGGACTGGCAGCGTGATCCAAAGTGCATGCTGTCATCTGCCGTTGTTGACATTGGTGATGACCTAGAGGAAAGAATGACGGCAGGAACTGCACCGGTCGAGGACATTATCAAGTATGAGGAGATCATATTTGAGCACTACATCCGGTGCTACGCTTATGTATTTGCTCGTGCACCCACGATTCCCTGCAAGTTCCCCTCTCCAGTCGTCAAACCAGCGGAGCTCGTGTCCCAGCAGTGATGATAGTGTTCCATTGGACTTTATTGATTTTTTCGGACTATATTTGCGCGCACGTATATCACAATGAACATATTGTTTTTTTGCTCTATACCAGTGCCATGCACCGTGATCTCTGAGTGCACCAGAAGTGCACATAACATTCGGAGCTCCAAGGACAACGGCAGCTTTCGCTTCTGGTTATGTGACATTGTGTGACTGTGTGACTGATCCAACTCTTAGTCGATCACGTCGTGTTCTACTTCTGCCTACCATGCCACGACTACATTCCGCCCACTCCCACCCCCGTCGAGAACTACGGTGCCCAGTTTTGTGCGGGCATCGTGGCCTATGATGTTTAGTTCTGTGCTTTACATCATAGGTAGCTGCCAGCCTTCATGTGAGTCTGGTGGCCTCGGCATTTCGACGTTGCCGCAGTACACACCTCACACCGCCTCAAGCCTCATGCACAACACATATCCGCAATCCTGGACACGCCTCGTCAATTTCGGCTGCCTCTGATACAGAAGTTATGCCCGTCTGCAACATTTGGGTGACGTGGCACTCTGGCATGAAAGTTACCAGGTGCGTCCTCCGTTTGCATTTCGTGGTCAAAGACAGCGTGTTCCGCCCCAATGTTTGAAGCAGCCGATATGCAATGTCCCCACCCTATGCCCTAACTGCCACGAAGTGTTCTTGCGATTTCCCTGTACTTAAACGCATCCACAGCTATCCCTTCACTTTGTCTCCCTTTGTGCTCTGCCCGCACCAATGGCCGGTCCCAAGAAGAAGTCCCAGCCGCGTACTCCTGCCGCCCCCAAAGGCAAGCAGAAGGCGCCTGAGTTAACCCCCGCCGAAAAGATCGCCGTTCGCAAGTCGCGAAGTATGTATTCAGCATTGCCCCGAGTTTAACTATCTTACCCATTTTTTCAAGTTGCTTCAGCTGCGCGCCAGAGAGAGGAGGAAGGAGCGGGTGCGCAGTCTGTTTATCTTACATTTATTGCTCAACTTTCCCCAGAGTCCCGCCGAATTCTTGCTGAGATGGAAGCCGAGCAGGACGACTCCGATGAAGACGAGGAGACCCGTCAGGAGCTGGAGGAGGAAGAGGAGGCGCAGGCAGCAGATGACGATGATGAGCAAGTCGCCGAGGGTGATAACGACGACGAGCAAGAGGCAAGCGACGATGAACGTGCTCGTGGGGCTTGGGCGAACATCGCCGACCTTGGTCTCAGCGAGAAGGACCTCACTGCCCGCTCCAAGCGCCGTGCGATTCCTCCCCCGCCAAGCTCCGAAGTAGACGAAGACGAGCCTGAAGAAATTGTACGTTATTTCACCGGTCTGGGTACAATGAGGGACTGACATCTCATGCAGGAGATATCGGAAACGCTGCCTACACCACGTCGTCCTGGCAAGAAGCGCCAAGCAGCTGAGATCAGCCCAGTTCAAGACAAGCCTCCCAAGCGGTCCCGCCAGCCAGCCAAGCCCGGTGGCTCTTCCTCCCAGGCCCCTTCTCGTGCATCCTCCGAAGCTCCGTCCCGTAAATCCTCCCGTGCGCCTTCTCGGGCATCTTCTCGTAGTCCCAGTCCCACTCCCCGCTCTCGCAAGCACAAAAAGGGTGGTGCTCCCCGTCGCCGCCGGGAGCCAGATACTCGCAAGGTCACATCGCGTTTCTTCACCGACCTGCAAAATGATTTCCTCGATGGTGGCAAGCAAGCATTTCGCGCCTCGGCCGTCCTAGACGACGCGTTCCCCGAAATTGGTCGGAAGTCCGCATACTATACGCCCATTCTCGAGGCCTTCGTCGAGACTACCTATGCTCGCGCCAGCTTCAAGGAGGTCCTCAAGGACTTCAAGGAGAGTCCTGAAGTTACCGTTATGGATGATGTGTGCACCATGGTACGCAGCCCTCCCAGTGTGCGGCATCTTACTGATCCTCGTATAGTGCGAGTATGCTGTCGGCGATGGCATTCGCAGGTTTCTGCCCTGGTGCCGAGACCGTGTCGATATCATTGTCCAGCCAGATGGTGTGGTGGATTCCGAGATTACTCAGATGGTGGTTGCATTCCATAAGAAGACCAAGGCGTTCCACCATAGCAAGTATGATTCGATTGTAAGTGTTTGCCTTGTCGTCCATTGCTGTAGCACTGACATCTGGCATACAGAACAAGACATTTGTTTCGACCACCGCTTTCAAGGCACCGTGGATTACACAAGTCATACGTCGTTGGCTCTATGTCAACAAGAGCGGGCTTGATGGCTTTGCGACATGGCGTGTTGATGCGCTTGGAGGGCCAACCATGGAGCTAGTGGCTCTTATCTGCACTTCGGTATGTGGTTTAGTCTTTGGTTTCCTTTGCTAATATCATTTTAGATGCTGCATTGCATTATCGAGTGGGAAGAGGGCACATTCACCGAGCACCAATTTGGCACCAAGCTGACCAAGACCCAGTATGAGATGATGCTTTGCTCGCTGCAGGACATCGACAAGAAGGTCCCGGGATGGTGGGCAAAGCTCTCGAAGGATATTTACCTCAGTGCTGCGTATGTCCTGCATTTTCTGGTACCACTGCGGTTCTTACGCCATTTTCAGGAGGCAGTCCAACAAGGAATGGCGCATCAATGCCAACAAGGGCCAGACTGTCAACCAGGGCATCGATTACGAGGCAATGCGGGCTGAGCTTGCCGCTGAGGTTGCTGTCGAGGGCAACACTGTCGCCGGATAGATGAGATAGTAGTGGACATTTTTAGTTTTGCATTTGTAGTTCGAGTACAGTGGTCTGCCTTTCAGTGGTATTTACGGCAACGAAATTGCAGATTTGTTGGCTCCTTAATATTGGTTGGCTGGTGGCTTGTGTGTATAAGCCGAAGAAATGTTTGTTCTCAATGACCAAGTTGTGTTACTCCTATAGACAGACTTGGAAAATACTTTTGTGAACTTGAAGTTTATTCATGTAAACTCAGAGAACACCTGAGGAAACTTACAATGCATTTCTATAGACCTAATGTCTATCCATACTGACTTGAGGTGCGTTGATATAGACTTACAGAGCACCGATGTGAACTTAGAGTGCACCTATGTGGGTGTCAGGTTCAGGTGACGCTATGTTAAATACCTGGGTGAATCTATACGTACTTAGTGCGCACCTATATGTACCTAGCGTGAACCTATATGTACTTAGCGTGAGCCTTTGTATACTTACCGCACACCTACATGCACCTAGCGTGAACTTATACGTACCCACCGCACACCTACGCACACCTAGTGCGCACCTATATGTACCTAGCGTGAACCTATATGTACTTAGTGTGCGCCTTTGTATACTTACTGTGCACCTACGCATACCTAGTGCGTACCTAGTGTGAACCTGGAGTTTACCCAGGTTCAGGTCATGTTATGTTGAGTTCCCAGGTTCACCTAAGGTTCACACATGTCATCCAAGGTGTCTTTTAGGTTCAAACAAGTGTACCTAGGCTCACCTAGGTATTTAACATAGATTGGCCTGAACCTGGGTACACTGCAGGTGAACCTGTTCCAGGTTCACTTAGGTGCGCCCAGGTGTGCCCAGGCAAACCTACAGATCCTTAGGCCATTGAGCTGTTTCCTGATGCACCCGACTGCACTTCAGGTGCGCGCAATGGCATCGAGAGGCTCAAAATACGTATACTTCGTATAATTTAGTCTTGCTACTGTACATTCTATAGCTATATCCTTGGCTATATCTCCATATACGCTCCTTTTCAATGACATCCATGCCTTAAAGACACGCTCATAGCCTGTGTGAATATCTGGGTCATTGTGCATCTACATTAGCTGGGATAACCTGGGATAGCGATGCATATATGGCTGAAATGTTGCCGGAATGCAATTTAAACATTTCTTAGACATCCCAGAAATTACCACCATATCGGTGATTCTTTTAATTTCTCATGCGCGAAAATCCTGGAATTGACCTGCAAACCTGGGAGCTTCGTGACATTGCTCAAACGCCCAGATCGGCCGGGATATTCCCTAGGGTGGCGGACCTAACCCCCAAAACATAGGTACCGAGCATAAGTACCGGTACCGTACCGTACCGTACCATGGACTGTACACCCCCCGCCGGGAGGGTAGGTACAGTACCTATCACATGATGTTTTCACGTGACCTTATCACGTGCGGGCTTCGGATCACGGCGCGGGGCGGGCGGCGGCATGATCGGCGGGCACCCAACGACATTGGGGAGTGGCATGGCTCTCATTGGGGTTCCCAATGGCTGTAACTTTAATATGTAGTCGAAGTGTGTCAATGAAAGAGTTTTAAAGTCAATTAAAAGCCATAGGGCCAATGTGAGGCTGCTCAAAGAATGCCTTGATCCTGCAGGGATTGCGGGGTGAAAAGCCGCCATTAGTGGCTCATTAGCGTTGAATCGTGTCATATTAAACCTTAACTAGTGTAATATGCACGCAGACGCAAAAAAACCGGAGAATAGCGCGAAAAACAAGCAAAACGCGAGGTGTGGCGCAGGTCACATGTCTCAATCACGTGCCGGTACCGTACGGTACAGTACGGTACGGTACACCCCCCCTAAATTGGGCATAGGTACGGTACCGGTACTGTACCCCCCGGGGAGCATAGGTCCGCCACCCTAATATTCCCAGAAGGCGTTTCCACTGGGCTTCAACATTCAAACTTCAACGTTTCAACGTCCAGCGGAAGTTGAAACTTGACGTTGAACCACCTGGATTTCAAAAGTGTTTGATAATGACAGAAAAAGACTGCCCCCTGCAAGGCTCGAACTTGCGACCTCAGGATTGCTCAAGCATGTGCTTGATCATACACGTGTATGAGACCTGCGCTCTAGCCAACTGAGCCAAGGAGGCATGCACTTTGCCGACAAGATAAATTCATGGCTATGTCAAAGTCTCGGAAGTTCTGACACGTTACCAAGCCTGCGCTACTCACATCCCACCGCCATGCCACCAATCCCACGTCGCACTTTTGCGCTTGTGACGGTGATACTTTGCGCCGCCTTCTGGTATCTATCCTCTCCAAGTGCACCGGTGACCTCTGTGTTTTCTTATTTTGACATCCGCGGCACAAGCTCCACTCCAGAGATCTATGGCTTATTACACCGGATATTAGAAGCTGAAGATGGCGGGGGAGCAGTAGTAGATGAACATGCAATAGGCCTCGATGCATTCGCGACAGAGAAGGTGGACTGGAGGAAAGAGAAGGCTTTATTGGATCGTGAATATCCTGTGGTCATCTTTAGCAAAGTGCGTCGTAGCTTCCATGACCAAGCCACCCACATCAATTCCTACATACTACCACTAACATGTCTTCCAACAGACCTACTGCCCTTACTCCAAACGTCTGAAATCCCTCTTCATTCCATCTCCACCCTCGCATAACAACCAAGAATTCCGGCCCTCACCATACAATCTCAACAGTCTTCCGTTGGTCATCGAAGTGGATACGCGTCCTGACGCGTTTGCCATCAAGCAACAGCTCAAGCGTATTACTGGTCGCGGGACCTTCCCCAACTTCATCGTATTTGGAGGCAGCGTCGGCGGCGCGGACGAGGTCACTGGAATGCACTCAAGGGGAGAGCTCGAAGAGTTCCTGCGAGAGAAGGGGCTATTAGGATTGTAGATCAAGCCTGTATGTCATTGTTGCTTCTCGTCCTCGTCTCGTTTGCTTGTCCTAGCGTATACCTATCGAAGTCGTCGTTTCGCAAATGCATCATCTTGCACCTTTTCATGACATGAACGCACAGAGTTCCCTCCGCATTGAGAATTTGTGTACATTCCTGCTCTGTCCCGGTCTCTAGAATCACTTGACACAGTCCTCTAGACCTTATCACAAGTCTATGTCTCGTTAGGCTGACTTGGCCAACTTGCAGTGCGACTCCAGGAGCCCTTATTCTCGGGAAGAACGCGGTCCGTGCTCGGTGAAAAGTGGTGAACGGAATGCATTCGTGAGAGCAGCATGACTAATCCAGAAGCCATTGCTGCGCAGGACCATTGCGCAGTTCACCTTCACCTTAGACCATCACGACGACTAGCTCGCGACTGGAAAATCTTCTATCTTTCCTTTTACCATTTGACAACAAAAACTCCAGTCCACTGCTCGACAAGGCTGTATTACTACCACCAACCGGGCCTTGAGCCAAAACCCCAGCTTCGCCCTGTTTGAATGCCAAACGACTATCCATCCTGAACCTCAATACAATCTATGATGCAAGATGCTTTCCCGAAGCCCACGCACCGAACAATTGTCTTCGTTTGAGCGAGGAACTAGATAGGGAACTTCAGATTGGAGGGTCAGCACTTCGCACCTCAAGGAAACCCTGACTCGACTTACTTGCCAGGTCCTCTCTTTTCTTTCTGCCGGCTTCCACTGGAGCAAGGACACCTAAACCGGCTCTATCTGGGCTCTACAAGTCCAACCACTGGCATGGCAGAGCTCATCGAGCCGGTCCCTTGTACATGCGCTGCCTCTCGTGGGCTCGCTACTCTGTCGTCTGATTTACGATGTTCAGATGATACTGCTAGACGCGCCGAATCTACCTCGAAGTCGTCCCGTTTTGAATTCACACAAGTTTAGGTACGTTATCAATGTGACCTCTAGGGCGGCAGGGGACATTCGTGGCCAGCTCATCCATGTATTTTCTGGCAAGCCTATCCTGTTAGGACAAATATCCAAAGACTCTCTGAATCATCTAAGAAGGCCTACAGGAAAAGCAAGCTTCGTATTTCCATATTGATCTTGTGATAGATGTCCCGGCACCGTTGCAAGGTAACTCGCGATAGGAAGTTCGAGTCGTCCGGGCATCTGAGGCGTCTCATAACAGTGCGTCCTTGATTGTAGCTCGAGCTTCGCATTGGACTATAGCTACTTCTCTTGGCGGATATCCTTGCGGACGTCTTGAACTTTGTTCTTTCCCTGAGCTTGAATCGCATGTTGCGAATCTATCAGAAGCAGGAACACTTGTCTTCCTTTCTGCCGACCATATTGCGGGAGTGCCTCGACATCCAAGATTCATAAAAGCAAGTCTGCTGTCCTTTCGCTACAGCTGACTCTTGCAGCCTCCAACCTTCCCTTCCTGTCATCCGCTTCGTCGTGCCCGTCATGTCCGACATCGACAACCGCGTCGTCATGTACTACCAGACGCACTACAGGAATGGCGCTTTCGTCTCGCCTTTGCCGATGATTGGATATGTCACTCACGTTCTCCTTGCTGCCTTCCATCTCAACATGGGCAACGTCGGTCCCGATATTGTTCATCTCAACGACTACATGCCCAGTGCGGACTACTTTGCCCCAATGTGGCCCGAACTTGCCCAGGTTCAAGGAAACGGAACGAAGGTGATGGGTATGCTCGGTGGCGCGGCCGGAGGGACCTACGACTGTCTCACGGACGAGCTTTTCGACACCTACTATCCCCCGCTACGAGATGTCATCTTGGACTACAACCTCGATGGCATGGATCTCGACGTCGAACAATGGGTCTCTCCCGCCGTTATTGAGCGCATCATCACAACCATGAAAAGCGACTTTGGCGACGAATTCATCATCACGCTCGCACCCGTCGCTACTGCACTCACTGAAGGTGGCAACTTGTCCGGATTCAACTACATTGACCTCGAAGCGAAGCTAGGCCATCTCATCAGCTTCTACAATGCGCAATTCTACTCCGGCTTTGGGTCGTTCTTCCCAGAGGACCAATATGTGAAGATTGTCGAATACGAGCAGGGCATCGATCCAGGACGCATTACCGCGACGGTGTTGACGAACTCAGCGAATGGGTATGGGTACATCAGCACGGACAGCGTCGTAGCTAGCATCAAGAATTTGATGACAAAGTACGGTACCCAGTGGGGCGGCGTTGGTGGATGGGAATACTTCAACTCGCTCCCGGACAGCAGTCAGCCCTGGCAATGGGCTGTGACAATGAAGGAGGCGATGGCAGTCCAGAAGGCGAAGATGCTTAAGGCGGCGAAGGAGAAGGAATCTCGCGAAGAAGAGAACCGAAAAGAAAAGGTGAACTCGCGGATGTTTAGGTTATAAAGGGGACTCCTTGCTATTGGTATTTATCATGTACTTATTGGGCCTTCGGGACACACAACATGGGCAGAATGACTATCAATGACATGCATGATACGGATGTGAATAGCTGATGCAACGGAGGCTATGGATGCTCAAGATCAGTACTTACCGTTGAAAATCGTCTTGAGCCTTGAAGTCAAGTAGACATGGCACGACTACTGATTGCAAGCAGCCAAGCTGGTGTTATGTCGCCCAATGAAGATATCCAGGATCCTGTATATTGGAAGCTTTTCAAAGCTCCAGCGGGAATAGGGTAACAAGTGAGATAATATAGAGATATACAAAACAAGGATTAATGAATAGCTATGGGGTGTGAATATGTATATTAGAGTAAGTGTGGCAGAATCCTATCGCGTTATCCTCAAATGGCAGTAGTGCAAGTCCGCAACGCGTCCGTGAGCTCGCCGGCTCAATCGTCATCTTGGTATACGCAGACATGTCGAAAGCGCTCGCGTAGCGTATTGGCCCACATCGCGACCCGTCGCACCTCTTCACCCGTACCATAGCCAACGATCTTCACCACTCGCACCGCCTGGGGCTGACTCGCCAGCCCCTGCTCGATACCTAGCATGTCGTCTAAGACGGCCTGGAAAGGCACGACCATCACGCCGTCTTTGTCCACCCTGTAGCGATGTTCGCCATTCCAACGGAAGTCGGGGATAAGTGTCGGGTTTGAAAGGCGGATTATCTTTTCATAGAAAGCTGTCATGGCTGGATTTGCTATCGCGCTAGCGAGACGGCGCGTAGCCTCTTCTCTGCACATCAAAGGGTCTATACACAAAGGCGGGACTCAGTGACACATCGAGCAAAGGCGAGAGGGAAGCGCGAACGTACCCATTGCATCGCAATGCAAGCAAGTAGGGCCCTCGCAGAAGTACGGAACTGAATGACCGCAGGGTAGTTCCTTGTTTTTGCAATGCTGGCGCCAGCAGTCCATGTCGACGAGAAAGAAGCTGGCAGTCGACATGGTGGTAGTTGTGGATGTTGAGTGACGACCAAACACTCGCCATTCAGATCAGGGAACCACAGAACTGCTTTGTCAGTTGCCGGACCCAATCGAGACGCGGCTTTCGAGGAGACTAATGATATAACAGTTGAGGTAACAAAGCTTCGCGCGTTTGCCAGTGCATAATGTCTTCGAAAGCGAGGTCGCCTATAGCATACTCGGCGGTGTCGACGCGTTTTCAAGATACAACGCCTTGTATGATCAGTACTGAGATCTGCCAGTGAGAGTCAATGTGACCAGAAGCTTTGCGCCCACACGTTCGAGTTGGTCAAGCCCATGTTATCTCGATGTTATGCACAGACTGGGCGGAGACGGTCGGTAATCGTGTAATAGTAAGCGTTTCTCTAACGCCAATCAGAAAAAAAGTTGGAAGGCGACAATCATCAATAAGATACTCGCCACTGGAAATGCACGAGAACAGTGTACATGAAAAAACATGAAACTAAATGGTCAGACCTACATATAATGCGTACATGCATCACTCCGGCTTCCCTGGAGCACTTTTCAATTTCTCATGCACCAGCTCAGAAAACTCTTCCCTCAGGATCGCCTCCCTGCGCTCTTTCTCTTCCTTCTGTAACTTGAGTAGATTCCTCTTCTCCTCGGTGGTGATGACCTGGTTCTCCTTCCGCATGCGCACGGCAGTCATCCGTTTGTGTCGATTACCGCTCATCACATAGCCCGCATCCTCGTATTGCGCGATCTCTCCAGACGACAAGCCGATTTCACCGCGACGTGGGATACGAGCGTCGGTATCGTCCTGTA